TCTGAATTCTTTGTGAGTTTTGACCTTAACCTTCTCGTGACCTGTGGAACGTGGAAACTCACTGCCATGGAGTTGATCCTAATGCACAGTGACCCTCCACCTGGTTTCTGAGGCCTTATGAGAGGAGGCGGCCCGCCTTTCTCACATGGAGCAACCAGTGGATTCGAACGGATGGCCTTTTGGTTAGTAGCACAAAACTAAACCCACTAAGCCACCAGAACTCCTTGAGGGACATGTAAGTTCCCACTTGTATTTTCCATTGCTGGAGCTTAGTAGAAAGCTGCCATCTGGTGGAGGCATGCAGAATGGCAGGAATCGGAGAAATTGAGCCTCAGCCTACCAACCCCAGCACCAGAGACCTCTTGGGACACATAGGTCCCGCTAATAAAAACCCCTATTATTACTAAAGTTCCCCACCCATTTCATTAAAAATGACTTTCATAACGGAAAACAGAGGATTTCAACCCTAAAATGCAAAGCAACAATTGCAGAATTGTTGCAAAAATTCAAAGGAAACAATTTGGTCTTGAGAAGGTTGAAAGCCAAGCTCCTGAGCTTGCCTTCACCAGGGTCTCACGCCAGCTGTGTCCAGCGTTCAGACTCTTCTGTGGCACTTACTGCCTTCAAGGCCGACTTCTGCTCTTCAAGTATTTCTGCTACTCCACTCTTATGTCGTGAACTCTGTCCACACTGTAGTAGACACCAGGAGGTATTTACTCAAGAACTAGCCAAATGCATGAATCTTAAGTTACTGGTAATAGAAAAAGAGCAGTTTTAAAATAATCCTATTGATAAGGAGAGAAAAAAAATGTTCACAGACCTTGCCATGTGATAGTAAAGGGTGGAGGGTGCTTGCAAGAGTGACTGATAATGAGAACCTTGCAGAGAAGTTCTGTGGTTTGCTCTGGATTTGAAGACTGGAAGAGGGATCAGAAACAGACTGTGGCGCGATAAGGCCAAATAGAGAGTGGTGCATAGCAGGCCAGACACCTACGTCGATGCCAAGGAACAAGGTGAGAACAGTACAGACTTCTCCAGGTGTCTTGGAGGAGAGAGATAGGGTCATCAGGAGCAGAAGCGAAGTTAGAATGAGGGCTGCGGTATGCCTTCTGAAAAGGAAAGGGCCACAGGAGGCAGAGCAAGAACAGGCCTTTGAACCCATTTATCCCAGCGAGACCCTGTTACACGGGCATTTAAAAGCGATGAGCAATGCTGGGGAGTCAGCCAATTCTCTCCTGCCCAGGTCTGGATGTACATTATCAAAGTACTAATCAGCGAGGCAGCTGTATTTTGGAAACAGGCCTCCAAATCATACAACTTCTCTAGAAAAGAAAGGAGAATGGCCTCTGTGAGGTGACACCTGTGAAAACCTTACACAGCACTGCCCCTGAATGAGAAACAGCCCTGACTCTCCAGAGAAGCTTCTGGGCAAGGCTTTTCAGATGTTTTTCTGTATCTGCCAAGTTGATAAATAACCATGCTCTTGGTCCCCTGAGCACACACTCTCATCTGTCACCGCCTGACTTAATGTAGGTCCCGGGACGCTTCATCATCAGCATCTAAACTCCGGCTTCAGTTCATCAGGAATTGATCGGGTTCATAGGGCAGCTGGATTCAGCATGGACATTTCCCAATACACTTTAGAAGGTTCTATCTGGGCTTGCTTGGTTTAAGCCAAGTCACTCTCTTGTCCTGAGGCTGGCAAAGGTTATGGGGAGGGTCAGGGTCAGCAAACAAGACCAGCTTGGTTTGCTGGGAGGAGGGAGCAACAGGATTAGCTGGGTATAGCTCATTTGCTTTCAACAGAGCAGGTGAGAGGTTGGCTCTTGAGTTTTTTATTAATACCCTGCTCCTGGCAAGTGAAGATAGTATCTGTGGTCTAAATTGTCTCTCGTACTTTTCTATTGTACATTCTTGGCCTCCACCTTAGCATCAGAGATATGGCTGGTCATTTCCTTAAGGCTATAAATCTCTATTCCATGGGTATGAACGTGAGAGTACCTATGTGTATGCTTGTATGTGTGTACACAGAACAGAGTAACCTCCTGAAGTCAGGAAGGAAGTGCCCTGTGGCTATTGGTCTGCATGACTTTCCTCGTTCTTCGCTTTCGCAACCTTGATGCTCCCTGGTTTTGAGTCCTGTACGTAATCGGGTCAAGAGAGTGATGATGTAGGTGGGCTTGTGTGTATCCATACAGACCTGGTATAAATATATATTTATATACATATATACACAGGCATGCAGAAAAGGAGTTGCAGATTATTTACTCTGGGCGACAAGCTCTGGAAAGTTCTTGCTGACATCAAGATCTGAACACTTCCAAAGATGCACTGTTGCATATTATACATATCTTTCTGAATACACACTAGCCAAACACATAACCACAGATGCATAGACACATTAAAGGGGAAAACTGGGCAAGCAGAGGGAAGAAGAAGAAGAAGGTGCTTTTACAGCCATCAGCAAGCGAGCAATATTGTAGGTTACACTCAGTGCAGGTAGGAACTGGGCTTGGGGACACTCTTTTCAAATGCAACTTTTCATCAACAACCACGCTCCTGGGCTGCTTGGATGAAATCCCACTTTGCACTGAGAGACAACAGAAAAGGGTATGAAGACAGGAGGGAGAGCAGAAAATTCCAGTATTAGGACAAGATGACACTGGCCCTCCTGCAACCTTTCTTGTTCTACTAGTCGACCTGCAGTGGAGTCTAAGTCACCTATTCAAATCTTCCTTCAAATGACAGCTTGATTAGTAACAGACAACAATACCACCTTCCAGCCCTTCAAAGTTTCAAATAGATTTAAAATGAAAGTTCACTTATTCCTCCTTCTCACTAAAGAACACATCCTGACCTCAGCCTCTTGCCCTTGGTGAACCAGGTGCAGGGTTCTCTCTCAGGCTGAAGACCTGACTTTGGAGAGGGGGAGGTGGAGCTCCTGCAAGGCTAGCTGCGTGAGGGGAAGCATCTTGGTTCTGTTTTCCCAGGGGCCCTTAAACGTGCTTTTGCTTTTGCATGAAGAGTTATGTGGGGCTCTGCCTGTGGCTCTGTGGCTCTGTGGTGGGAATGCCAGGCTTGGCCTGGGGTTGCCAGACCTCCCTGTGGGTTCAGCAGTGAGTTCTGCACCCTGATAGCCTCCATGAGGAGAAGTGTCCTCACAACAAAGCCACAGCTAACATCATTGGCAGTACTGACCGGAGACCTGATCACATCTGATGACAGCTCTCTGTATCTGACATGTGCCAACTCTGGCATTAGGCTGGGTGCAGAATAATGGGCTCATACTCTAGACATTTTTCAAATTGATTTTGTTCTCTTAACAGTGTCTTTAGCAGAGCACATGTTCTTAGTTTTAAAAGATGTCCAATGTACCCATCTTTCTTCCACAGATTCAGCTTCTGCAGTTGTCTTAGCATGGATTTTAATGTTAAGAGTGACTTGGGAAAAAAGAAACACGTATTTATACATACATAAATCACAACATATTTTAAAACTAAACTGAGTTTGCCTTTCCCCTCCTTGCTGATTTATTTTCTGCTGATGTAGAGTTGGAAGGATCATGGCAGACATCAAAGAGAACTCAGGGATACCAAAGGACTGAAGTGTAACAGCCCATGTCATATTGAGCAAAATCAGGAAATCTAAACCTTAGAAAGACTGGCTGGAAAGCATTGCCAAGAAGCTGTTAAGTATAATCTTAATGCAGTCTATGGGCTACAGAAAAAGAGCCTTGACTAGGGTCCCAATGGAAGTAAAGATACAGAATGTTTGCATGGCTGTTAAGCAGGTACTGGTCTTGGCATGACCTCACACAAGATTCAGAAATCTTTCTAGGATGTGCCTTCTCAAACATCTCTCAGCAGCAAAACCCTGAACAGTATAGCTCACAGTTCCTTTAGCTCTTCTAGAGAAATAAGGACAACCTCAGACACAAATGTTCTTTGTGGCTTTGTTAGAAGATGTTTACAAGAACTATGCTCTTGCATTCCCGCTGGGCGGCAAGTCCTCCAGAGCCCCTCTACTGGATGGCATTCCTCATCACACAGCTTGGGCTTCGTGGTGGTATTTTGATTATATGTGAGCCCTTAGTAATCAAAATACGGCTACATGATAGTCACAGCTAAAGGTGCCCCTTCTGTTGATGGTAATGGGACATGCACTGAAGTAGTACAGGATCAATCGATATAGTTCTCCTGTCCTAGAATAGCACTAATTTGGTTTGCAGTCATAGTTTCTACTTGCATGCTGGGGCAATATAAGGTAAAATCAAATGAAAACAAAACCACCTCCCTGGTCACCTCCCTACCTCCCCGTCCCCAAACCAGTCTGCGTTTTACCCCTGCCTGTCTCAAGGAACCCTGTAGGTTTTAAACAGTAGTCATACTTGTGCAGGTGGGAAGGGAGTCTTCCTTGCTGGCCTTGTAGGAGTTTTCGGAGGGTCCAACACAGAGACTCTGGAGACGCTTCCCCTCAAATCTTTCCCCTGTAACCTATTTCCCTAAACCTTTCACTTCATCATGCACTATGCAGGTAACTCTAAGGTAGCTGCAGGTCATAACAACGCTACCTTCGTCTACTGACTCCAATAGTTCACTTCTTACGCTAGAGGTAAAGCCCAGACTGAAGCTCGATGCCCCTCTTCAAATAGGTACTATAAATATACTAGAGCTATCCCTGAAAAGATGCATTTGTACTTATATATATATAAAATTATATATATATATATAATTTTTTTCTTTGTATACAGGTATATATTAATCTATAGGTGTAGAAGGAGAGGTATAGTACAGGAACAGGCAGGTGTGTGTGTCATGTGCGCATATTTATAATATGTATAGTATGTTTACAGCCCCCATCATTGGTTGCATCATTATGGTGAATGTACCTCCGACCAGCGAGGAGTACCTGTCAGCGGTGAACGGGGAGAAGCCCCCACTTGATGGTTCTCTTGGTCTCTTAGTTAAAGCCGTTTCAGTAGGCAAGGGTGGAAGTAGTAGCCTGTGGGATGAATGGGCCCGACGTGCATCCATCCGTCCTCAAATTCTCCTCTGAGGAAGGACACCCGGAACGCCCAGGGCCGTGCGCCAGCTGCCTCTTCTCCAGAGGTCAAGGAGCCTAAAGCCCCGAGCGGGAAGGGACCATCCATGCTGCTGGTTCAAGATATGGCTTTGCCTGCTAGATGGAGACAGGACACGTCAGAATTCTGTCTTCTAGAAGGACGCTGACCACCAGGAACACGAAGTAGAGGCCGAACATGATGAAACCCAGCACTTTGTTCATGCGCCACTTGCAGAGGGCGATGGAGAGGATGACGAAGAGCAGCATGATGAAGAGCAGGACGATGGCGCAGAAGAGGCCGTTGCTGCTGACGGCCACAGGCTGGAACCTGTGGATCACGGTGTACAGGAGCCAGGGCAGCGGGAGCCTGTGCGGAGAGAGGGGGAGAAGGCTCTTAGCGGAGGGGGTGGGAAGGTGCCCCACGAGGCTGGTGCAGGAATCCAGGGCAATTCCAGCTCCTTGGACAGCGGGCAGCACTGGCATCCTTCGGCCTTGCGCGGAGCCTCTGTCCTAGTGTCCTTAGCAGGAGGGGCCAGTCCTTGGAAAAGGACATCATTCTTTTTTTTTTTTTTAATTTTTCTACTAGTTTATTCACACAATTCAAATACAAATTTGAACACATTCTTTCCATTTCCCTCAGCCTCCCCCCCCTCACCCCATCAAATTGTACAACCCAATGGTTAATCCCCTCTTCTCCCTGCACATCCACATCCCTCTGCTTCCAGCCTCTCCCACCCCTCCTGGGTCCTTATACTCCTTCTACAGTAACGGTCTTATACAATATTTATCCTTATGTGACTGAGTTATTTAGTGGCGAGAAAGGAACTCTTATACATTGTTGGTGGGATTGTAAAATGGTGCAACCATTCTGGAAGGCAGTTTGGCGCTTCCTCAAAAATGACATCATTCTGGGAAAAGCAGAGGTCAGGGAAGGAAAGGAAACCTCTCAACAAGGTGGACTGACACCATGACAACACCAATGGGCTTAAGCATGGCAGAGAGCGAGCCTGGCCCAGGACAGTACAAGGTTTTGATCTGTCATGCATGGGGTCAACAGGAGTCAGAGACAAGTCAACAGGACTTAACAACAACAACAACAACAACAACAACAACAACAACCCCCTTTAGAAATGGGCGTGACCATACCACATATTAACACTGTATTGCTCAAATGGATAAAATGGTAGGATTGGTGTACATGGTGTACACTGTATGGAAAAAATAACAGATAACATAATACACTTGGAAATTAAAATACAAAGGATTATTCAAAATGTTGAAGGAGAAAGGAGATGCATTTTATGAGGACAATATTGAAGGCCTTAATTTCTCAGAAGGCGGCCATCCAGGGTTATTCGTAGACTACTTTTGTTTCTAACACGTGAAAAGAAAGGGTAGAGATAACAGCACCCCTCCGCAATCTAATCCATATTAGCTATTAAGTCATACCAAGAACTTCAGTGTTCTTTAATGTTAGAAGAGAGTTTATCTTCTGACTTTCAAGAAGCCTAGAATAGCTCCACCAGCACAGAGGAACAAATGCCAGCATTTACAAGGAAGAGGATGGGATGTGTGTGCTGGGGCAGTGCTTGTCCTAATCTGCTTTACAAACCCATCTCAGCAGAGGCTAGTGAGGACTTGAATGAGATTTAAAATACAGAACAAACAGAAGGAACCTCCCAGAGCATCGCAATCATGGCTGAATAAAGAATATTCATGTTATTGAGCCAATACCTTCATGTAGAAATGAAACGACCTTAAAATGCTAATAAAACATTCATTTTTGTACACAGGTTATGTGTTTTAATCTGTCTTATTAGATAGCTGCTGTTGAATTAATTCTAATGCATGTGGCCCTACGTGTGTGTTAGAGTACAAGTGTGCTCCATAAGGATTTTAGAAGTAGACTGTCAGGACTTTACTCCCAAGTACCTCTGGGTAGCCTCAAACTTCCAGCCTTTAGGTTAATGTCAAGCATGTTAATAGTTTATTCTACCCAGGAATGACTATGTTTGTCTAATGATGACCTTTGTCCCCCCATGTAAATTCTCTGAGAAGAGAAAACACAGGTTAGGGACCTGAATAGGATTTCCTATCTTTAATTTTCATAGTTAAGTTTTGAACCAAGAGATGCTGATTTAATACAAAATCATACCTACAAAAAATCCCTTCTACTTACCCTACAGTGATGTCAAAAATATTGCTTCCAACAGAGCTAGACACTGCCATGTCTCCAAGCCCCTTCCGGGCCACTATGACGCTGGTGATAAGATCAGGGATGGACGTCCCAGCAGCCAGGATGGTCAGACCCATAATCTCCTCACTGATGCCAATTGTCTCCCCAACCTAAATGTGACGATGGGGAGAAACACAGGCGTTAGAAGCCACAAAACCACAACCACTTCAGTACAACCACGTTTCGACGTGTTTCTACTCTGTGTCGAGCACTGTGATTACACACAGCTGAATAAGCCACCACCCTAGAGAAACTTCTCCTCTAATGATACTCAGACCTGAGAAGTCGAGAATGAAAAACAACTGCACAGGGCTGGCGTGCAGCCTCTATTAGTGTTTCCCACAACTTGACTAAGGGAAGATGCAAGACCGGAGTTACAAAGGTCATTGACTTGCCATCGATTGCCTGATAGGGACACCAGGTCCTGGGGCCGATTGCCCCTTCCCGACGTTCACCAGTGAAGGTCAAGAACTAGCAGGTTCACCATTTTTTCCTTAGCGTCTTAGTGTCTTTGACTCACTACAAAACATTAAGTCTCAGCCGTTTCTGTGTGAAACTTGATTTTATGGGTAATGCAGGACTGTAAATCAGCAAGGCAGTTGTAGAGGAAGCAAAGCCAGGGAATCAGGGGGCCTGGGTCTGAGATCTGCGTCCAGCAGTTAATAGATGCTCAATGTGTGCGACTCACTGCAGGCCCCTAGATGGGCAAGCTGCTTGTATCCAACCTCTAACCCATCCAGTGGCCCCCTGGGAGAAAGACTGGGTGGTCAGACTCTAAAAAGATTAGAGGCAAGAAAAAGCCATGAAGCATTCTACTCTGACTAGTTCAAGAGCAACATATTTGTTGTTGTTGAGTGTGTGTGTGTGAGACTCACTGCTGGCTCGACTGATGGCATGTTTTTGATTCTTGTTTTCTTATTCATAAATGTAAGGATAAAACCCCAATTCATGTAAAAGTCCTTTGTAAGTTGTATATAATGATGGGAAACCAAAGTGAGGAATAATTGCTATTTTCTTTGGTTTTTGCCTTTCAAGACTGATGAGTTCTATTTTGTACCTGTGGCTGCTAGGTGTCATGGAGCCGGAACAACTGAAGGCTGATTCTTCCGTTGGTTTCAGAGTCTTTAAATCTCAAGGCAGGAATTTGCTCATATCTCTCCCTCAGAGAAACTGGTAGATTTGAACCACCTGCCTTGGGGTTGGCAGTGGAATTCCTTACCCACTAGGCCATCAAAATGCCATTTTATTTTACAGGGTTGATTTGCCTTTACATGTAGGCTCCTCAAGTCTCTTGAACAATTTTTGCCCATTTTAAAAAAAGGAAGCTTGAGGATGCTTGTTTTCCTGTTATTGAACTCTAAGAATTCCTTATGCCTCCCGATTATCAAGAATACACGATGCAAATACTTTCTTCCACTCTTTATCTTTTAATTTTTCAATTTTGGGGTTGTTTTAGGATTAAAGAGGTTTAATTTTGATAGAATTAAATGTATGTATCACTTTCTTCTTTTATGGATCAAGCTTTGGAGCCACAAAGAGAATTCTTGCTAAACTCATGGTCAAATAGATTTGATTTCTTTTTCCAGGATGCTTGACAATTTTAGCTCATACATTCAGGACTATGGTCCCCTTTGGGTTAATTTATATATATATGGTAATGCATAGAAATTATTTTCACATATGGAAATTCAGTTATTACAGTGCCATTGGTTAAAAGGTCTATCTTTGCCCCTCATAAATGTTCTTGTTGTTTATTTCCTTTCTCCAAACTGTTATGTTTTATTTGACCACTGGTGACCAAGTAGTAAGGAGGTAAGGCTTTGCCAAACCAAAGGTACTTGGTTTGAATCCACTGGGAGAAAGATGGGAGATCTCCCATGTGATTCTGAAAATTCATTAGAGAGTTAGCTATAGATTGGTTCTGACTTGACAATACGTAACAACATTTTATTTATGTTGTTGTCATTGTTGTTATGTGCCGTCGAGTTGCTTGCAACTCATAGTGACACTAGTACAAGAGCCCTAAAGCCCGCTCTATCTGGAAAACAACCACTTGGCCAACTGACTGGAAGAGATCTATATTTCTTCCCATTCCAAAGAAGAGTGACCCAACAGAGTGAGGAAACTATAGGACAATCTCATTGATTTCACATGCAAGCAAGATTCTGCTGAAGATTATCCAAAATTGAGTGGAACAGCATATCAGCAGAGAACTACCAGAAGTCCAGGCTGGGTTTAGAAGGGGTCATGGTACTAAGGATATTGTAGCTGATGTTAGATGGATCTTAGCTGAAAGCAGGAAATACCAGAGGAATGTCTATCTGTGTTTCATTGATTATGCAAAGGCGTTTGACTGTGTCGATCATAACAAACTGTGGCTGACTCTGAGAAGAAAGTGAATCCCAGAACACTTGATTGTTCTAATGCGAAACCTATGCTTGGACCAAGAGGTAGTCATCAGAACAGAGCAGGGAAACACTGCATGGTTCAAAATTAGGAAAGGTGTACTCCAGGGATGTGTCCTATCTCCTTTTCAACCTGTATGCAGAACCGATTATCCGAGAGACTGGGCTCTATGAGGAGAAGTGTGGCATCAGGATTGGTGGAAGATCTATCAATAATCTGCATTATGCAGATGACACAACCCTGCTTGCTGAAACTGAGGAGGACCTGATGCACTTGCTACAGAGGGTCAAGGACTGCAGCCTTCAGTATGAATTGAGGCTCAATGTCAAGAAGACAAAGATTTTCACCACTGGATCAATTGACAGCATCAGGATGGATGGCGAAGAGATTGAGATTGTTCACAGCTTTAGTTTGCTCGGCTCCATGGTCAACACTCTTGGCACCAGTAGCCAGGAAATAAAAAAAATGTATTGTGATGGGAAAGTCTGCTGTTAGGCACCTCTCCAGGGTACTGAAGGGCAATGGTGTCACTCTGGAGCCTAAGGTGCATCTGATACAGGCTATGGTCTTTGCAATCACTTGTTATGCATCAGAGAGTTGGACAATGACTAGGGAGGATAGAAGGAGAATTGATGCTTTTGAGCTGTGGTACTGGAGAAGAGTATTTAATACATGATACTGCCAAGAAAACAAACAGGTTCATCCTGGAAGAGGGTTAAACCAGGCTGCTCTTTGGAGGCAAGGATTCTGGGGCTTCATCTGACAAACTTTGGACATGTTGTAAGGAGGGACAGTCCTTGGAGAGGGACATCATGGTTGGGAGGGTGCAGGGATGGTGTAGGAGGTGAAGACCCTCTATGAGGTGGATTGATTCAGTGACTGGGGTAATCGGGATGGGTGTGTCAGAGGCAGTGCGATTGGCACGGGGATAGAGCAGGGTTTAGGGCTGTTGTACATAGGGTCGCTATGAGTCGCAAGCGACTCGACAGCACATAACAACATCATCCTGTGCCAACCTTACTGTCTCTGACACACATACCCTCATTACATTCATCACTGAATCGTTAAGAAGTTCAATAATTTTAAGATTATATTAAACAGGTCTGTCTTGGAGAGAGTGAAACCAAGTCTCTCTTTGGAGGCTAGAATTTTGAAGCTCTCTCTCACTTATTTTGGGCCAGGAACGATAGATCGGTCCTTGGAGAAGAACATCATGCTCGAAATGGTGGATGAACAGCACAAAAGGAGACCCTGGGTGAGATGGATTGATACAGTAACTGGGGTGATGGGGGTTAGTGTGTCAGAATTAGTAAGACTGGCTCAGGACAGGGCAGGGTTCAGAGCTGCTGAACACAGGGTCACTATGCTTTGCAGGTGACTCAACCAATAACATTCTATGACAGGTTGGGAAGCAGGAGTGGCATCTACTTCCAAAACAACATGCCTCCGGAAACTCTATGAACTTTGATAAATGTCGATGGTTGTAGATGGGCTCCAGGCCTTTAGTTCATAGGGTCACTATGAGTCATGCTTGACTAGAAGGCAATCATGAACAACAACAATATTAAACAGAGGGTACAAGTGTGAAGCTTGGGATTTATGTAGTATAGAACAGGCATTAAAACTATGAGTTTTAGAACTCAGGTTAGAATCTTAGTTCTGTCACTTATTACGTATATGAACTTGAGCAGTTTCCTCAGCTTCACTTCTTTATCTATAAACGATGGGTAGTTCTCATCTCCCTCACAGGGTCTGTGATTATATACAGAGTTACTGTGAAGAATACAAGGACAAAGACTTGCTAAGAGTCTGGCATGTACTGCTCCAGAGCCCTGCCTTTGACTGGATCATCTCGTAGTAATCCTGCAGGACAGCAGGGCACTGCCCAGTAGGCTTGCCATGGAATGCCCACTGGGTGTGAACTGCCAATCACTTGGTTAGTGGTCAAGTGCTTTAAACACTGTGCCATCAGGGTCTCTCCACTTGGCATATAGTATATGACACCTTGTATCTCGTTCTTTAATTCATCTTACTGAATATGTAACTACTGAGATTCTATTTTGGGAGGGTTAGTATGACAAGCAAAGGAACTCTGATGGCACACTGGTTAAGGAGCTCGGCTGCTAACCAATGGGGTGGTGAGTTTTTAAGGAGCTCGGCTGCTAACCAATGGGGTGGTGGGTTTGAATCCACCAGCTGCTCTGAGGCAGAACGACGCAGCTGTCTACCTCTGTAACGGCTTACAGCTGTCGAAGCCCAATGGGGCTGTTCTACTTTTTCCTGGAGGGTTGGCAGATGCTGGAACGGACTCGATGACATGGGCTTAAGTTTTTGGTCTTACAATAGGCATTGAGTCATGTGAAATACATCATCATTTCTGCAAACTGAGATTCCTAGGAGTGACCATTTTTGTTTCCAGTTTCTTTCCTAAGTTTTGAAAGACTTGCAACAGGAGGTAAGTGGGTGCCTAAAGACAGTGCAAAAAGTAAAAATTAGTGTTACTGAGGTGAGCTAGCTCTGGAATATTCCTGGGTTGTCCTCCTTTCAGGCTTCAGAGGGTAAGAAGCAGCTCAGACTTGACTCCCTTACCATAGTTGTCTTGGTATTATATCAACTTGACCTACATTACAGGGAAAGGCCTGCAAAGTTAAATGGAGTAAATCCCTATAGTTCTAGTCTATAGATGTTGTCCAGTTTGAGGCCCAATATTGCTGTGGCTGTTTTAGAAAGCAAACACACTGATTAACCACTTAAAAACCAGAACCAGAGGGAAAAAAGCAGGTTGACGAGTGTCACTTCTAACTATCAAATTCTTACCTGGTGTGCCCACCAGACCATCAAGTAAGAAAAGACGGCAATCCAGCTGATGGCGCCAAAGAACGTGATGGGGAAAAACTTCTTCGATGTCTGCAATAGAACCAGGAAGAGTACGATGTAACTGCTACCTACTGTGGTGGATCTGACAGTTCAAAGCTAAAAATCATTTCCCCCATCTCTTGCCATTTTGGTAGAATTAGCCATCAAAACACCTCCTTTGCCCCTCTGGTCAAGTTAAGAGAATAAAATTCTCTCCTGAGAACATAAGAATGGTTGGTAGAAATCACTCCAAAGCTGGTTCCTTTTGATGGAGGTCTTACGAAGAGAATGTTTGTTGTCTCTAGGCTTAGAGTCTTAGATTCCGTTTATTTCTATGCAGTTCTAGGTCAGGTTTGTCAGCTTTTCCTTCAAACTATTAACACTCCACATCTTCTCATTGCTCTGTTTTCTCAAGTGCATTTGAATCCATTTCTGTTGCTTGCAACCCATATGTCCTAAAGCAATATACCAGAAAATATATTGGTTTTATTTAACAGGAAACAAGCTTGCTTATATTGGCTTGTGGTATAGCCCCATGAATTATCCAGAAAATCCACACAGAAGTAGCTAGTACTACAGAGCTTATACAGAGTCATGACCACCACGAGCCTACTGGACACTTGAACCGTCTGTGCTGAATGGAGCGCACAGAGGTAGAGGTGGCCAATCACACTGAGCTCTACTGGGTGCCACAAGCAATGTTCTTAGAGCTGCTTTCTCCCCTACTCTCCACCTCTAATGACAGGATGTCAAATTCTGCATAATTTCTGGCTTACTCTGTTAGCAATTCAAAACTTTTCTTTGAGCATCTGCCCATATCAGACACTTAAAATGCATTTTCTTACCTGATCCTATTAAGGTAAATCCAGCCTTGCACCGTAGTGGTGTGCTGTGGACGTCCTTTGTTGCCAACTTGGAGAGGCTCTCACCAAATTGTCAAACACTTTGTATTCCAAAGCCCTTCACTCTGAGAAACAATCCCATCTTTTTGCTTTGATAATGCATTCCAATTTTGTGCACCGAAATGACTGATGGAATTGAGTTGGGTGAAAACTATCTCAGTTGTCTGAAGAGCTGACCTTGGGCAGTCACGTAGAACACTTTTTGCCATGGCTTTTGAGAGCTCCATTAAGAGGGGCAGGAACTTGCACACAGTAACCTTCCTGAATATCTCGCCTGATGAAAACAGTCTCTATCGCTCCAAACCAGGCTTATGTTTCCTTTACTAATTTCAAGCTTTCGATATATGCTTTTATTATCACTCACACAGTCCTATTAAATTGAACAATAACTGCTTCTTTCTTTTTTTTTTCATTCTGCTTCTCTCTTTTAATGATTGCTACTTTTTTTGGCTATTCATTAGCTGGGGTGCCTGGAAGACCATGAAAGCATGATGAAATTGGGGGAGGGCAGCAGGTCCCAGAAAAAAGTGAAACCCTTACTTTTAAAGTGTTTTCCCGATTCTTACCCTGGCTAAAATAACAATAAAACAACACCAACAATAATAACAATAATAATACCACCACCTACTTGCTGTTGAGGCAACTCCAATTCTTAGAAACCCCTCGTTTGTTAGAGCAGGATTATGCTCTATATGATTTTGAATACTGTGATGGGA